AATAGGTGTGTATTACAAATATCTGTTTGACGATTATAACTGGGTTGATTCAGTCCGTTAAGATAAGAGAGAAAAAAGAGAAATAATTATTAATAAAATTCAGAAATACCTTGCGGCTCGACGAAGACAACTTGACCCAATCGCCGCGTATGGCAAAGATACATGCCATGCCCAATGTAATACAAGTTTATTTATTGTAAATACACATAGATGACTCTACAATTTTATTAAATTTATTATTTCTTTCTAAGTAGAGCGAGTTGTACCTTTTTTAGCAGACCTATGAATTTTGCATTATGGTAAAAAATTGAAAATAAATTCTGAATAGAATGGGCATGGAGGAATTTTTAACTGATCCCATGTTTCTTTATAACAAACTAGATTTCGTATTAATTTCACATTTCTAAATTCATCTATATCGAGTTTCATTGACAATACATCTGTATACAACAGTTTCTTACGTTGTAATATTACATTCACAACTTATATCCATTATTGTACAGCATTAGTAAAGTCTTGTCCATTGTTTTTTTCCCCAGGTTATTTCTGCCCTCTTCTCAATTTCTTTTTTCTTTTTTTTTTTTCTTTTATTGATTGACGGAAATTGGATTAGATTTCTGAGAAATCTACCCCAATATCTATTTTTCAAAATAAAAAAAGCAATATACAGCATGACTCTGCATTTATTATTTTGGCTGTTAAGTTTGAATTTTGTTGCTGCTTTTACGTACTATGTATGTAAATAAACCTATAATGAGATGAATATTAAAAGTAATCTGGGTGAATAATTTTGTCGGGATTATAAACTTTCCCTAAACAATTCAAAGGAAGTGAAGCTTCTACGTTTGTGTGTGTGTGTGTGTGTGTGTGTGTGTGTGTGTGTGTGTGTGTGTGTGTGTGTGTGTGTGTGTGTGTGTGTATGAAGTCGAGTAACGGCCAATGTCACTTTTCTTCTAAAATAAACAAATAAAAAATTAAAACAATAATAGGGACAACACATCTTACTTTTTTTTTTTCTTTTTTTTTTTTTTAGGGGGATTCTAATCAGTATAAATATTATTCGTATGCTCATGCATTTGTAAAAAAATGTATATAATTCTTTGCAAAGATATACTCTCCTTGCGAAATAACAGGCTTATTGCATTGATTGTAAAGTGATACTATTCATATTCGCAGAACCAAACCCATGCCCTTGAGACGTAATTATTTCCTTATATTTTCCGGGTAAGTTTTCTTAGAAACTCATTCGCGTGTGGAATTTCTTGAAATGTGAACTGTTTAAAGTTATGTTAATAAAAATGGGTAGTATTATCGTTTGAAATACTTTTAAGTATAATTTTTTGTCTGTTCACTCAGGTCTGATTGCTTGGCTGTGGGAATATTAGCTGCTCGCTTGCCTTTAGTGGTTTTATTAATTGACGTTAACAGCAGCTAATATGAGATTGTTAAAATGTAATTGTTAATAACAATAACAACAAAACAGTAGGAATAATAATAATACTGGTGGTGATTTAACAGTGATAATGATAATTTAACCAATGAGAATGAGAATGATAATAATAATAATGGTAATATTACTACAAATATTAACTTCCATTATTTTTTTCTTATATTTCGTATTATCATTATTCTTTTATATCACAATTTTAATCTATATTACTGTTGTTGATGATGACTGTCATAATAGTATTTATAACATTATAATCATCATGTTCTTCATAATCATAATCTTGATGGTTATTATTATATTTTTTTTTCTTTTTAAATTATGATCATGGTGATCATCTACGTTTATAAAAGGTTTTGGTAATTTAAACTATCATAAAAGCATTGATAAACTCATATCAGAGCTCATGAAATACATTAACGTAAACTTATCGATGTTTATGTTATAGATAAAAGTTTAAATTATCACCTGAAAACACTTCTGGGCGTGCTATCACAAATTAATAATAATAGTAGTTGTAGTTGTTTTGTTTAATCCGTAACGTTTCCTTTTTTTAGAGGGCGGAAGCCTTGCACGTCTCTAGATCCAGTTCCCAGTTGTGTTTCCTTCAAAGCCTGCGCAGGATCAGCATTTTGCCTTCTGACAACGCGGGGAAGGACGGAATGGTCGGATAGGGAAGGACTCACCGCCAATGTAAACATTAAATGGATGTCATGTCCACGGAATGTGATCATGGCAATATTGGTGGGACCTACGACGGCATCTAGGGGGAATGATGTAGCAATGTGCCGATACTGCATCACAGTCCATGAGGCAGGTGAGTCTTCTCCACAATCTGACCAATCCTTGTCGTAGACAGGGCACTTTATCGGGGAGATGGAGACAGTTCCTGTACAAATGTTGAGATAGGAACGAGATTGGGCAGGAATGGGTTTGTCGGCCTGTCAGTTAAGGTTGACAATGCTATAGCTTGGGATTCGGATGAAACTGTGGCGACGCCGGAATAATCGAGGCGGCTGCGGAAAGAAACTTTGCCTACTTGTTTTTTGGAGGCACTGCTGAAAGAGGAGAGTGTTATCAGAGTAAGGGTCTGTGGGGGGGATTACGAAAAAATGATCCCATTTGGATGGACTTAACAGAGTGGTCAAAATGTTTCGAGCGGTGAGGGTAAAGATGGACGGGTACGTGTGGAAGAGGGAGTAGTGTTGAGTGAGAAAGTCTTGCGGAGAGGTGAGCAATAAGTCTGCAGAACAATAATAAAGGAAGGTGGTTGATTGTTTGAAGAAATGCATGTGCTAGATATCAAAGGCCACATAGCACTATGGCAAAAAGGGTGGAAATGAGCTAAATGATCAGGAAATGATGTATTAAATGTCTAGATGTTGTACATTGCTGTATGATAGAATATTAGTGAAAAGGGTGTAGAGGGGGACAAATGGAATACAGTAGGGATTAGTTAAAGGATAGGGCGACAGTATGTGTGTGAGTAAGAGAGAGTAACACTGTACGGGGAAACTACAAAAGAGCTATTATGAAACATCAAATGGTAATATGGTAAGAAATGATAGTGGAAGTAGGAGAATAATACTGAGAATGACATAAGGAAACAGGGGATAGTGGTTAAGTATCGGGCAAAATGTCAGGAGGGGAGAGATCCACAGAAGAACATTGTTGTGACTGAAGGGTGTCAGGTGAGCATCTAAGTGTGGGTGGTAAGGATAATGGGGAAGGAAGAGGGATTGGTGATGCACATGAAGGAGAGGATGAGGTGTTTTTTTGTTGAGTAGGAGGAAGAGGGGTAGGGGGGATTTGAGGAGGAGGAGGAGGATAGATATCGGCAGATACTCCGAATGTAGAGAGATTAAGGAGTTTTTGAGTGTGGGGGAGGGAGTAGATCATTCTCCTGAGTCATGTTTATGAACTTTAGGATGTCTTCAAGAGTTTCTGGAGGGGAGTTGGATGGGGAGGTTTGAGAAACAAAGGAGAAGAAGGAATAGATGTCCGAGGAGCAGAGATGTGGTAGAAGATAGAATGAATGTTTAGGTTGTCTAGTGCAACAGGTAGAGTGAGGAGTGGGAGAGGTAGGCAAGTAGTAAGTGGTAGAGACTGGAGTATCTGGATTTAAACTGAAAATGACTGGGTGAGAGAGGTAGTAGAAATAGGTTGGTTGGCCTACTTGTTTTTGGAGCCATTGTTGGAAGAGAAGGGTATTGTCTGAGTATGGGGCTGTAGGGGGAATAACAAAGATTGGATCCCACTTGGCTGGGCCAAAAAGGATACTCAGAAGGTTTGCAGAGGTGGAAGCAGTGGAAGGACGAGGACAGGAGGAAGATAGGGTGGTATGGAGAAAGATAGTACTAGTGGGAGGACAATAAGGATGAATAGCAGTAATAAGAGGATGGGAGTAGACGGTGAAGATTGTGCAGTAGAAGATGGAGTGGAATAAGTTGGGAGAAATGAAAGGGCGTATTCTGAAAGTTGAATAATGACCTGGGTGGATGATTCAGTTGTTGACAGCAAATGTCGTGGAGGGCATATTTGTATCAGTAGGAGCCATGGTCAAAGGAGGGGCAGGGGTTGGGAAACCAATGAAATAAAATTTAGACAGGCTAGTTGATGAAGGGAAAACCTTAATGCCCTTAACAAGGGTAAAACATTCATTAAAACTTCATTATTGGCCATGGTGAGCCTGAAATAAATGGGGTGAGGAAACGGTCTACCCCTCACGGTCCATATGAGGGGTAAGGGCTGGACAATTAACCAAGGGAATACCATGCCCATACCTTTTCATGACTGACACAAAGCCAGCATGGCTCTCACACCCTAGGAAGTGGATAGAAGATGGGGATTATGAAGAGAAGAAGGAAAGGGGGAGAAGAAAAGACCATGCAAAATTACTTGAGGTGAAGGCTGAAGTGTCTCCTAAGCCCCATAAGACAATAGGGGAATAAGGGAGGATGGGGTAGTTGAAGAAAGTTGTTAGGATGTTAGGAAAGGAGAAATGCTTCCTGGAAATTGAGTACTGACCAGGGGATGATTTGGACTAGACTGATGTGGCAGTAAGCATTGAGGAAGTAGTAGTAGCAGTGTTCAGGGTCCTTTACAAAGGAGAGCCTAGTCGGGGAATTTGAATTGGTGGGGCTATTTGATGAAGGGGTAAAACTCATTACCCATAATAATGGTATAAAGTCTTTATTACTGACCATGTGAAGCCCTAACTATGTGGGTAGAGAAACAGTCCACCCCAGAGAGTCCCCTGGAGGAGTAAGGGCTAGACAGGAATACTGTGCCCATGTCTCCCTCAGGCTGATCATGACTGGCCTTTTATCCTTTCAACACAGGTGTTACAACTTTGGAAGTGGATAGTAGAATGGGTTGGAGACGAGAGGGAACTGAAAAGGAGAAAGGAAAAAGACCAGGGAAAATTAGTTGAGTCAAGGGTTGAGCCTCCAGGCAGGAGTGATCTTAAGCATCAAGTCCCAGTCTCCTTTCCCAAAGCCCCCTACAGTAAGAATGGGCATAGGATTGAGGGGATAAGGAAATATTAAATAACTTAAATTCAAAGAAAATGTATTCATATAAGACATAAAACAAAAATATATCATTTATTTTTGTACACTCAATGTACAACTATAAATATACAATTTTAGTGATCTGATTTTAAGTCACGATTCCCCTGTAGGTAAGGCCTTGAAGGACTTTAGTTTTAGGAAGGCCACTCTTGCCTAAATGAATATATTACAAACATCAACTGTGGTCTGGCCTGGATTTGGCACTGGGAGGCACACCAAGCCAAACCACTGGCATCTTTGACAAATGAGTTTCTCATTATGTTATGAAATGAACTGTGTCACTGAAAATGGATTTTGAAGGCACAGTAGTATATAATTTTCATCTGGCTTGTCTTCTTCTTGGACATGCTCAAGCCATCTACATAAAACGAGAATTTTTCTGCATATAAAATCAGTGATATGAGAACCATTTTCTACTTAGTTCTTCTGATTTTAAAATGGACAGTGGGCCCCACAGCCTGCCAACCCCCTTTATTTAGGGCAGCTTTGGTAGGATGGCAGAGCTGGCATCCACCCGGAGTGACCACCCAAGGCTTAACCTCAGGCGAGCTATCAGGGTAGGCACTTGGAACATCTGGTCCTTACTGCAAGATGAGCGGGTACCTCTGCTATTTAGGGAATTGGAGGGGCAGTGGCATGATTAGTATGGATAGGGACACTTACTACTGGTCAGGCCATTGTGATGGTCATCACCTCAAGGGAGTAGCCATAGCCATCTCCAGCTGACTTCAACCCTCAGTAGTTGAGGTAACACTGATGAATGTATTATGGCATTGAGACTGAAACATGCTTTTGGCTTCGTTTCTCTTATTACTGTGTACGCTCCTACCGATGTTTGCAAACTTAATGTGAAAGAGGCGTTCTACCCCAAACTCACATCCGTGGCAGACTATTGCCCCTGGTGAGACATTCGCATTGTCTGTCAGCCTCCATGGCTCGGGAGCTGATCCCAGCAGCAAGAACAGCCTCCTTCTCCAGGACTTTGCTAGATCCCAAAGAATGAGGATTTCTGGCTCCTGTTATCAGCATTCCAACCCACATTGCTGGACATGGTTAAGCAATACAGGTACTGAGATCGACCACATTCTTGTCAGCACTCAGTGGAGGATCCTCTGCAGAGTTTACCGGATTACTGAGTTCAGTAGCACTGGTCATAGGCTTGTGGTGGCTACCCTACAGGTCCACTTCAAAACTCCTTGTCTATCCAGTGGCCACTCTATTGTGTTTCACTTGGACAGACTGTGGGAGGTGTGTGCCCGTGGGTCCACTATGGCTATCTCTGATTGATTCACAGAACTTAAAAGCCTGACAGACCCAGTTGCTCTGTGGGAGTCGAAGCACAAAACAGTCGAAGCATCGCAGGAGCCCAGTGGCATATGCCCAAGGGTAAGGCAGAATTTCATCTCCCTGGAGACATTGGATGTCGAATGGTTCAACTAAATGCTTGCAGTGAGAATAATGAAGTCACAGAGAGCTTTGCATACCTTGGTAGCGTAGTCTATATCTCTGGGCTGTCAGACCAAGAAATCAGAAGATGGACTGGTCTGGCAGTAGGAGCCATGACCTCGATCAACAAGAGCACTTGGAGATGTTGGTACCTGTACAGAAGGACCAAGCTATGTGTCTTCAAAGCCTTAATACTACCAGTGTTGTTGTATGGAAGCGACACCTAGACGCTATTTAGTGTCTTGGAGTATCGTCTTGATGCCATTTGTAACAAGTCTCTTCGCCGGATCATGGGGTACAGTTGGCAGGAACATGTATCCAATCAACAGCTACACTGTGAGACTGGCATGGGACTTGTTACTATACCGGCTATATAGGCACCTAGCTCATTTCCCTGTGGATGACCATGCCCATAGTCTCTCTGCAAGACAATCCTGGGTGAAGGAGGCCCATGGGACAACCTAGGAGATCATGGCTTGAGCAGCTCGACAAGACCTGTTGTGAGGAGTTTGAGATGGGTTGAGGCCCTGCCAAGAGACACCATAAAGGACCCTCATGGCTGGAAGTGAAAGGTGGATGCAGCCTATTGATGATATGTGCATTCATTGGCAATGATAGGCCAGTGATGTGATCACCTGCCTGAGGATTCCTTTTCTTGATAAAAGTCATCATTATAGTTATAATACAAGTTGTAAATTATAATATCTAAAAACTGAGGAATATATATCCTAAGCAATATAATATGCCTTACTACAACCTAACCAAGTACAGTAATACCTGTGGATAGGCATGTATACATATCACATCATATATACATGTCAATATTTACAATTTACACTTATTTCTCCAAAAGAGAAGAAAATGCAGGTATGATGCAGACAGCACACATTGTGTTATGTATCTGAGAGAAGTATATCCTAAAAAGAGATTATGCCACCTTTGGCCATGTCAATACCATCAGGTAGTCTGATGGGCAAGAGTGGTAAGTCTGTTATTAGCCACTTTGTGATAATACTGACATGCAAAACAAAAGATTACCTCTGTCCTTAGTTGAAATCAATCACCAGAAACTAACAGCTGGTCTGACACCAGGTACAGAGCATTGAGCACAAATTGTTGTGATATGAACTATTGGCTTACCACCCACATACTGGCTACTGTATTTTGTGACTGCATAACAACCATTTACTCAGCCACATGGACATCCCTACTAGCATGCCAGATAGAGTTTCCTAAGTGAGCGCACAGCATGCTTGAAACATGACATAGAATGACATAGAATGCAAGTAAAAATAATTTTCTGATGGTTATTACAAACTACAAATGTGTGTGAGTGTGACTGTATGTGTATGTATTTTGTGTCTTTATGTATGTAGGGGAGGAAGTGTTAGCATGTAAACATGTAAATATTGATTTATTTAGCAATGTGTATTTACTTTTCCTACGATATCAACTATTGTCCTAATGAATAAGAAGCCTTTTTACACAACTTTACAATTTCACTAACACTTTAATCACTAATGCCAATATATTATATAAAACATACATAACTCTTCATTTTTCATCTGACTCATCAGTACATACAGGTTTTTATATTAAACAATAATATGGTTTTTAATTCACTGTCAATTTCAAGCATGGACACATACTCTACCTATAATCTCAAACCAATTTTTGTATATGGTGCCTGGTACATGCACTCTCCACAGCAGTTTTGTCTAGTGAATTTTATTTACACAATGACTCCACAAATGCTTAGTCACCAAGGAGTTAATTAATAGGCCTCACCTGATAATTCCTTGAATTTATATTTCCTTTCTGATATTATTTTCAGCAGATGAGATCTGGTAGGCCTAGTAACAGACTTCTTGTTGAATAAGCACTTCTTTTGCAGAGTGAATAGAATTTAGAAAATAAAACCACAATGGACTGGATATGTATGTGACAGTATAAATTTCTGGACACTTTGGAGAAAAAATGAGTTGATGGCAGAATTTTGTTTTATAAAAAAATATATATATAAATAAATCAAATATATCGTTTAAAAAACTACTAAACATGTAAAATAAGTAATAAGTGTGCAATGATTTGAAAAAAGAATAGACTTGGCAGATTGGAGTACTTCAGAACACAGGGTGATGCCACTTTTTCTTTCCTATGATTACTTAAACTTTGTTAATATTTAATCAAGCCATACTTCGGGAAGTTAACCTCAAAATGTTTATGTCACACACATATCTATAACAGTGTTTGATAACCATGATGAATTTATATTAGCTTAGTAATTCTATTTATCTTCCAAACCTAACACAATATTCATGTATTCATGTAATTCACTGGAAAACTTTATTTTGAGACAATCACTTCAAGTAGGTTATTAGGAAATGCATGATTTAGAAGTAAAAAAAATAGTCCCCAAAACATGAAAGACAACAGATTGAGAAAAAAAAAAAACTCTGTTATTCATAGTTCTTGTAAATGGTTCTTCCAATATAGAGGGCTATGTGATCCTGTGTCATGTTACCATAGTGCTTAAAAATTAATTTTTGCTGCACTTAAATAATTGAGAAACAAGTTGAGGTGTCATTTATGGATTAAGAGGGTATGGGACTGAAGATAATGAAGAGTATGAGGGAGGTATGGACGGGGGAGGATGTGAAGGTGTGTCAGCAGGATATGGAGGAGGTAAGGATGAAGGTGCATATGGTGGATAATGTGTAATGGCTGAATATGGTGGAGGTGGGGCTGAAGGATCTCCAGAAACATTAGCTAAGTAGGCATCATTATATGCATTAGAAGGAAAACCCTGTGACGATGAGTATTGAGAGTTGGCAGGACTCTGAAATCCTAAAGGTTGTGCAGGTGGTACCAGTGGATAACATTCTGCTGGTATTTCATCTGGAGTAATCCCAGTGCCCTCTTGTTCCTGTGACACAGGTGGGGCAACTGGTACATCGAATGTAACCCGAGCAAGAGGATATAAAGCTGTACTTTGTTGAGAAGATGGAGGTGCTGATGCATCATCCTGGTACACCTGCTTTTTTGTGTGTCTATGGATGAATAATTTAGAAACCTTTAGTGCTTTTGATATATAAATTGATTCAAAATCTAGTATAAATTAAAATAAACCCTTTAGGGAGCAGTAAATTTTAAAAAATTGTGTGGTATAGGCCTATCTAACAATAAATTGAAGTCTTGCCACCAGCCCAGCTATTAAGTAAAACTAAACTTGCGTAAAGGAAAAGCTAGCTAATCAGCAACTTAATTTATCAATGAAACAACCCCATTACCAGTTGAGATATTGGGTGCTTTGGATAATGATAATGTTCACAGCAACAACAAAATAATAAGAATAGCAATAAATTAATCATGTAAAAAATAGAATTGATAACAAATTATATATATGTATGTATATACACACATATATATATATATATGCATATATATATAAATATATATATATATATATATATATATATATATATATATATATATATATAGACATACACATGTATATATATACACATCTATATATAAATATATAAACACATATACATATACATACGTGTATATATATGCATATATACACATACATATATATATACATATATATGTATATATATACCTATATTTATATATATACATATATATATACATATATATTTACACATATATATAGATACAAACATATCTATATACAAATATACATATATATACTAATATATACACACTATATATATTTACACATATATATAGATACAAACATATCTATATACAAATATACATATATATATACATATATATTTACACATATATATAGATACAAACATATCTATATACAAATATACATATATATATACATATATATGTATATATATACCTATATTTATATATATACATATATATTTACACATATATATAGATACAAACATATCTATATACAAATATACATATATATATACATATATATATACATATATATATACATATATATATACATATATATGTATATATATACCTATATTTATATATATACATATATATGTATATATATACCTATATTTATATATATACATATATATATACATATATATATACATATATATTTACACATATATATAGATACAAACATATCTATATACAAATATACATATATATATACATATATATTTACACATATATATAGATACAAACATATCTATATACAAATATATACACACTATATATATTATATGTATGATATATATTATATATATTATAAATATGTGCCTTATATATATTATATTTATTATATTATATGTCTTTATACATTTACACACACATATGCTCACCTCTTCCAAGTAATCCTTATTGTCCAGCTCCAAAATGCTATGATTAACAAACCACCCAGGATGCCAACAATTATAGGTCCTGTTGAAGGTCCTGTTGCACCACAGTCACATGCCTGTATTTCCTTCTTGTATATACAGGTGCTGAAGGTAAAGGAAAAAAAGAAAAATATATTTTTTTAATCAGACTATCCCTGTGTGTGTGTTTTACTTCACAACATACACACATAGGTATGTATATACATAGCAAGCAAGCTAGATAGATTTATAGATAAGCAGACAGAGAGAGAGATGAGTTTGTGTTTGTGTAAATGTTTTACACTCACTAATTTTATGTTTCTCTATATAGAAATTTATTTTCTAAGCAAATGTATGAAAGAGACTGACCACTGATCCACCAAAACAATAATTGTTGCAGTAAACTGGTTTATAATCTATAGATATGCCATTTTTACCTGGGACAGGAACACTCATGTTTAGAACACTCCAAGCCTTCAACACAATGTGATTTCGAATTGCAGTATTCACCATGTAGGACAATGTACTCTGTGAAAAATAGATTTATTTTCCAACTAAATAACAATGAGAAAAAAAACTAAAGAACCAGCAAACAAAACATAGCAAACTGTTTCCAAAATACTTAAGTTCATTGAAAAAAAAAACAAAAAAACATAGTCATACCTCAAAGCAAACTATTTAAAAGAAATGGGTATTAGCTATAAAGATAACATACTTGTAAGGTTACTGGCAAGCAGGAAATCGGCTTCAGGTTCACACCGCCCACTGGTTACATTTGGGAGAAAAGTACTGGAAAGACAAGAAAAGTAATCTCTGTACATTAACCCATTTGCGACGGGTAAAAATGAACAAAAAATGGGGAAAATGCTGCGCTCATTTTTTAAACTTTTTGTGAAATGTCTCTACACTAGATGGCTCTGCCTTCCGTGATTTCATTTGGCAGGAATAAGTATATTTTACAAGTGCTATGAACACCAATGGTTATTTTTATTATAAAGATTATAATTACTACAATGTTATAAACATTAGTAACAGCAAATTAAGATAACATAAAATATATTTGTAAATTAAAGAAAAGGGTAAACGGACGAGACAGGCAGTACAGCTACAAGTGTAGCCATCTGTATCTAAAAACAATTAAACAAGTAAACTCACAGTGGGCATGTCACGTATACATGACACCTAGCGTGAATGGGTTAAAATTTGTCATCAGTAACTATTACATCTTGTAAATCTTTTCCTCTACTTATGTATATCCTAAAATTACAGTTTCTTGTAAACTCATTCTCCATTTTCTCATTATATAATGTATATTCACAAAAGAAGAGTGAAGAAAGGAAAAGATGATTTTGCTATTTTAAATGTGTATCTATCTATTAAAAATTGGAACATTCCAAGCCTTCAACACAATGAGATATATATACATATATATACACATATATATACATATATATGTATGTAAAAAAACATATTTATACATAAAATATATATAATTCTAAATATATATATATATATTCACATATAAATATATATATATATAAATATAAATATATATATATATATATATATATATATATATATATATAAAACACATATTTATATATAATATATATAAATATAAAGTTTTATATATACATACATATATACAAATACATATATATGTATATATATGAATATATGCATATATACATATATTCATATATACATACATATATGTGTAAATGCACCTATGTATGTATATATACACATGTATATATATATATATATATATATATATATATATATATATATATATATATATATATATATATATGTATATATATGTATATATATGTATACATATATATGTATGTATATATACATATGATTGTATGTGTATATAGTATATATATGTATTATATACATATTATATATATTATATACATTATATTTATTATATATATATATATATATATATATATATATATATATATATATATATATATATATATATATTACGTATGCATTATATATATATTATATATATATCTATATTATATGTATTTCATATATATAAGTATATATATAATATTTATATAATATATATTTCATATATACAGTAAGTCCCCAACTTAAGAACATAAAGGGGACCGAAAGGCTGTTTTATAAGTTGATTTGTTTCTATGTCAAAAGTCGGGTCTCCAGTACCTTTTTTCCCATTGTTTTAAAGTTTTGTTTACATTAAGAATACCTGTTAATGAATCCCAAAAAGTACGACATACCTTATACAGTACCAGACTCTTGAACTATATTCGTGCCCGGGAAATTTGAAGTTTGCTAGCATCTTTCAAACAATTTTTTGGACTATAGTACTTAAAAAAATTTGTTTGTATGTATGGAATATTCACAAGTAGAATGTTCTTAAGTAGGGGACTATCTGTATATGTATATACATAATATTTATATAATATATATATATAATATATGTTTCATATATATACATATATATATATATTATATGTATAATAAATATAATATAATTATATAAAAATATAGCAATACACACACTCGCACACACACATGCACTCGCACACGCACACGCACACGCACACTCACACGCACACGTTTAGATATATATATATATATAATATAGGTATGTGTATATATATATATGAATATATATCTTTTATGTGTATATATACATATATATACACATATATACATAAATACACACATACATATACACATATATATGTATATTCATATAAATAAAATCAAACACACACACATACATACATATATATGTTATATATATATACTTATATTTACTTATATATATACATATATTTACGTATGTATACATATATTTACATATATACACATATATTTACATATATATACATATATATATACACATACATAAATACATATTTATATACATAATATGTATATAAATATGTGTTTATATGCATACATATATATATTATATATATGTATGCATATAAACACACACACATTATATATATCATATAGATTAGATTGATCAATTAGATTGACTCATAGGTTTGATTGAGAGACAGGCAGATATATACAGCTAGAGATATAGATAGATATTAATAACAATATAGAAAAGTGAACTTACGCAAAGCACACACATTTCTTTTCTGCACAGAAGCTATGTTGCTTATCGTCACATACATATACTGAACCATTCTGTATGTTGCAGGGCTCCAAGACTTTCTGGTAAAATACTGCAGAATAAGAAGAACAAAGATGGTCATTACATATTATTTTAAGACATAGAAGAAGAAAATAAAGTGATACATTAGGTTTTTTCTTGTAAGTATGCCTCATTTAGAATTTGATATATAGAACAATCACATTATTTTTATTCAATTTGTAATTGAGAACTTTGCTTTAGTTTTATAAATCAGATTTAATACATGCAAATTTACTCAATATACACATTAAGTTTTATGTTGCCTGAAATTTCTAAGTTTCACACCAAAAGTATCACACAATAAACTAGGACTTGCTTCCTGAATTTGATTTATAATTGCAGACAAAGGTATAATCAAATCCAGTAAAATACATCTCTTGTACTGTGAAGATAATCATTCTCATTCATACCTTTTGAAGATCAAGTCATGAAGGCTTAGTAATTGATTCCAGTACTTAGGCTATCTACATGCAGGCAAATCTAATAAAACAAAGCCATAATGATTAGTACAAGTATATGTAAGTGATTTATTGACTATAATGCAGTGGTTAGTAAGTTGCCATGAAACTATTAACTAAGTCTTCAAATTATCTTTTAGATGAATTTGAAATTGACCAACAAAATAAAGTGTTTATTTTACTTGCATTTTAAAAATGTCTTAATAACTTATCATCCTTACCTTTTTGACACTCTGCACCAACAAACACATACCCATTAACACAGCGACATCCTATTACACCTAAACACTTGCTATTCGGTGGACAGTCTTCCAATGGGTTATAACAGTACTTTGTCTTTACTGAAAAATACAAAGAATATATTACAACCATATATATTTTTTATACATGCAAATATAGCTGTGTGTATATAAATATATATAAAACATATATTTATATGTGCATATATATGTTAATCTAATTCATTTCTACATTATTAGCTTTCCTCACTTTGCCTGACAATAAGTATGAAATATGCATTAAAATTATCCTAGGGTATAAAAAGAAAATTAGGAAAATCTGAGGACACTCACACAGTGAGGGAAAACTAGATTCACTGATATACAAAATAAGTTGCATATGCAAAGAATAAGGTATTTGTTAAGGAGAGTGACACATCCAGAGACAGTCCCAAAACCACAGTATCATACAAACCTTAAATCCAGACCTAACCCTTCCTTATACTTACTCCCTAAACAGAGAGGTAATCCACCCTATTCCCCCTTTATTAGCATTTAGTGCCAACTTACAGAAAACAGATATTAAGAACTCTGGCTGTGAAGCTGTTGTGGATCTGTGTTGCCTCTTACTCTATTTTTTATGCTCTATACAGTGGAATTGTCCATTTCCCTCTACCTTTGTGTATTGCTCTTGGTAACATTAACCAAAATGAAAAATAAAATCTGTCATGACTAATGCCATCCATGGCAATGGAGAGGGGAAGGTCCATGGGAAAAAGAGTCCCCAGTTTTGGAAGGTTTTTGGCTTAAAGACATTTGTGAATTCCAAGGAGTGCCGCCAAGGTTGTTGGCAGGAGTATTATGGTCTTCCTGAGAAATACAGTCTATTCATAAACAGTCTATTCATAAACAATTACCATCCTTTGTGGTCTATGCTATAAAATTTGCTTCAGCTTCATTAAATTCAACTTAATTCAACCCAAAACGATTGTGTCTCGAATACTTTCATTTACAGAAGTGGGGCATGCCCACTAACGAGGTACAAAGGCTTTATAGAGAGGTTGATTATATTTGACATGAGTGAAGACATGTATAAACCTCATCTCTGATATTCATCAGTATGTGGCAGCTATGCCTAAAGGTACAGTTCTTGAGGTAGGAGGGCACTGGGAATGTGTCATTCAGTGAGGAGGGGGATGGAAACCACTGATCTAAAGCACTTCTATATCAGGGTTCGTAGGACATTTCAACAGGCAACATGGTAAGGGTGACAAGTCATTTACTTAAAAGCTAAACGTTATTTTTCATACCTGACGGTGTAATACACAACCCGAAGAGGATTATTGTCGTCACATACTTCAAATTGCTCATACTACGTAGTTTACGCCGTTTTTACGCTCTGCCAAATGACCACAAATTTTCAAACAGTTGCACCTTGTTGGTGAACTTGTTTGTGTATTCTAATGAATTCCCTAAAAAGTATTTTATACCAACACTACTTCCCACAGGTTACAAGATGTCTTAACTGAGCCTTTTGCAGTCTGCGGGCGGATACACTTGGAGCCTGTTGCACGCGCACGCACGCACACATGCACGCACGCACGCACGCACGCACGCACACACACACACACACACACACACACACACACACACACACACACACACACACACACACACACACACACACACACACACACACACACACACACGCACACACATACACACACACACACGAACGCTTGCCTGCACGTACACACCAAATCTATAAATACAGTCCCACACACATATGTGTGTGTATATATGTATATGTATATATTCCTTAACACACATTTTTATATATACATATGTATAAATGAATGGTAAAACTATAGTGTTGATACTATGGTAGAAAATTCACAATGCATTATATCTTTAATGTAATTTGTGCATTGTGGTTTTCTATCATATATATGTGTGTATATATATATTATGTATATATATATATATATATATATATATATATATATATATATATATATATATATATGTATATATGTGATTCGTATTCATTCTCTTTGACTATTATAGCTTGGGTTGATCTGGTCAGTTGAGATAAGAGAGAAAAAAGACAACTCATTCGCGACACTTTCCTGGGCCCGTCGCCCCAGTAATGTGCCCGTGTTTCTACGCTGTGCCAAAGTTTCGACTTGTGCTTATTCCGATAATATAATATAATCTGATTTTATTTATGAATTATATTAAATAATCAATCGCCGTTTTGCTAATATTACATTAGGAAATAGCAGTGCATACAAGTTCTTAGATATCATCTTGAAATTATATTTAAAACGATGGAGAACTACCGAAATTAGTTGAAAATGCGCGCGCCCCAAGCGCCTCTCATCATACTTTTTCTTCGTCTATCGGCATCGGTTTCGAACGCACTCCTTTAAATGTTTTGAATATGTCACTTTTTATTCATATATATTAATTACATACTAAAGGATAATGAGTTTACGTCTTCATATCCAATTATATGAAGACACAACACAAGAAGTAAACTGATTATTTCACTGCTAAGACCCAGTGTCTTTCAGAATAGGTAGTTTGGTTAGCTGAGAGCACAGGTAAGTATGATAGTTAATAAGCTACTCACGTTTCCTGTGTCACCGGCCAGACTTATGGTTGTAGCATTGGTATGGTAATTTATAGGTAATCCGTTTCCTGTGTCACCGGCCAGACTTATGGTTGTAGCATTGGTATGGTAATTTATAGGTAATCCTCCTTTAAATATTTTGAATATGTCACTTATTAATTTATATTAATTGCATATTAAAGGATATACAAGTTTATGCCCTTATATTCAATCATAAGTATACAAGAAGTAAACTGATTATTTTACTGCTTTGACAATAGGTAACTTGGCTAGCCGTGAGCACAAGTATAGTATGAAAGCTAAAAAGATAATATGCTACTAATCTCTCTTGTATTCCTTATATAGCTTCTGCACCTTCTATATTTCCTTCACACTCACGTTGCCGGCAGCCTTGCATACGTAAATGTAAAAAGTGTAAAAAGTATGTAATAGGAAATGTCTAGATTTGTCTTTTGTATTTTACCAACGCACACTAATTCTAAATATCACTTCTCTTACTTACGTACAACATATATTTAGGTATTGATATATTACTATGAAATATACATTTGGTTTTAAAGTGATGTTAAAAAATAGCATGTCTCCAGTAAATATTCCATATGTATTCACTGCAAGGCGTGACTGATTGGTAATTGTCAATAACATTTTGTTTTTTTTCTTTGTTATGCAGTTATTATAAACCCTTTTGTTATTATAAGGCCTTTATGAAGCCATTATAAAGACTTTGGTGAGTATGAGGCAGTGTCAAACTAATTCATAATGAAGTTGTAAAGAAACTACTGGTCTTAACAGATTCTGTGCAGTTGCCGTAGTTATGTTTTTTTCATTATTATTATTGTTATCATACATATATAATATATATATAATATATATATAATATATATACATATATATTAAGAATTATGCAGCCTCAACGGTAGCATTGGCTATCATCTTCTTTGCCATGATACGTTTATTGATACCCAGATACTTGTTGAAGGATTTTTAACACTACTGTCCTTAATCCTAATGATGTTGACAGTATAAGCCTGCCTATCTCGAATGTTTGCTTTTGGTATTTGTAGTGTGTGCGTGTGTGTGCGTGCTTGCGTGTGCATGCGTGTGTGTGTGTGTGTGTGTGTGTGTGTGTGTGTGTGTGTGTGTGTGTGTGTGTGTGTGTGTGTGTGTGTGTGTGTGTGTGTGTGTGTGTGTGTGTGTGACCCCTGCTCGAGTTAGTATAACATTCAGTGGTGTTTCTAGGTTTTTTACCATATCACAGTGGATTTCCAAGTCGTTTTTTATACAGGAAAATAGATGCTGCCATTATGTAGTATTATATATTCCTCTATTTTTATTAATATATATATATTTTTTTTTTCTTAATATGGCAAGTTGTATTTTCCCCTCATAGCTCAGCTTTTTTCGGTAGACCCATAAATGGTAAAAGATTTAAAATAAATTTAGAATCACCAGGGTCTGAGAAAATAGGCATGGAGGAATCTCCTTCATGTATTATCGGAAAAAGAAAATTAAACTGACCCCACGTTTCTGTGTAACAAAATGAATCTCATATTTCATAGTTCTAACTCATATATATTGAGTTTCATTGACAATACATCTATATACAGCAGTTTCTTACAGTTTTCCCGTCTATTCAAGGGAAGGTAAGATCAGAAGAGGTCACAAAGTCTACTAATTGACTCCTTTGTGGCTAAGCACTAGCAAAGACATTTCACAAAAAAGTGGGTTTAAAGTAATCTGGGCTATCATATAAATCGATAAATAATTTTGCTGGAATTCGAAACTTTCCCTAAACAATTCACAGGAAGTGTGAGTTCAACAATCTCAACTACTTGATGAATGAAGCCTCTAAGTTTGTGTAAATATATTTATTTAATATATATACATATATATAGAAGGGTTAGTAACAATGTATTGGAAAATTGCAAAAGAGCTATTATGAAACAATCAAATGGTAATACGGTAAGAAACGATAGTTGTGGAAGTAGAAGAATCCTGAGCATGATGGTGGTGAAATATTGGGAAGAATGTCAGGAGGGGAGAGATCCACAGAAGGACATTGTTGTGACTTAAGGGAGTCAGGTGAGCATCTAAGTGAGGGTGGTAAGGATAATGGGGAAGGAATTGGTGATGCACATGGAGGAGAGGACGGGTTGTTTTTTGGTTAAGTAGAAGAGGGGTAGGGGGAACTTGAGGAGGAGATAGCTATTGGCAGCTACTCTGAATGTAGAAAGACTAAAGGAATTAGAGAGTGGATGAGGGAGTGGATCATTCTCCAGAGTCATGTTTATGAACTTTTGGATGTCTTCAAGAGTTTCTGGAAGGGCGTTAGGTGGGGAGGTCTGAGAAATAAAGGTTTCCTTATGTGGAGGAAGAGAGTTAATAGATGTCCGAGAAGCAGAGGGAGAGGTGGGTGTCGGAGAGGATGTGGTAAAAAATAGAGTAGAATGTTTAGGTTGTCTGGTGCAACAGATGTCAACAATACATAGAAAGACCAGATGGCAGATTTCACACCTCCATCCAAGCAGCTGCCTTTCTCCTTGGGCAGGATGCAGGTGCTGCCTGGCTTTCTCTTTCACACAGGAATTAACATCCGCCCTCCAAGGAAACCGCCGCATAAAAGGGCATGTATGTAAGACAAAGGAGAGAGACATGGCAGACTGGCCAAGCCACACATGATCCAGTTCCACCACCTTGTCCTTCACTCAGTGACACAGGGGTCTCTTGGGGGGTCTGATATCTACCTTCACAATAAACCAGCAAGCTAAGACCCCTTTCATCTGACTATCCCAAGACCATCTCTGTTACACTTACAACAGGTAGAGTAAGGAGTGGGAGGGGTAGGCACTGGGGAAGTGGTAGAGATTGGAGTATCTGGATTAAGACTGGAAATGGAATTTAACTGGGGGAGAAAGGTAGTAGAGACAGGTTGGTTTGCCTACTTGTTTTTGGAGGTATTGTTGAAAGAGAAGGGTATTGTCAGAGTAAGGGACTATAGGGGGAACCACAAAGAAATTATCCCACTTAGCTGGGCCAAATGGATTCTCAAAATGTTTGCAGAGGTGGAAGTACAAAGACAAGGGCGGGAGGAAGATGGGGTGGTATGGAGAGAGGTAGTACTAGTGGGAGGACAATAAAGATGAACAGTAGTAATAAGGGGGTGGGAGTAGACGGTGAAGATTGTACAGTAGAAGATGGAGTGGAATATGTTGGGAAAGATGAAAGGGTGTATTCTGAATATTGAGTGGATTCGGAATGGATAGTGTTGACAGCAAATGTCGAGGGGGATATTAGTATCAGTAGGAGCCATAGTCAAAAGAGAGGCAGGGATTGGGAAACCAATGAAATCAAATTTAGTTGGCTAGTTGATGAAGGGGCAAGCAGTAATACCCCTAATATGGGTAAAACATCCATGGTGACCTGAAATAAATGGGGAGAGGGAACGGTCTACCCCTCACAGTCCCCATGAGGGGTAATGGCTAGACAATTAACCAAGGGAATACTGTGCCCATGTTCGTTCATGTCTGATACAAAGCCAGCCTTTCATCCTTTCAGTGCAGCTCTCACACCTTAGGAAGTGAACAGAAGAAGGAAAGAAAAGGAAAGGGGGAGAAGAAAAGACCATGCAAAATTAGTTGAGGGCAAGGGCTGAGGTCCAAGGTTGGGGCGATCCCGTACATTGGGCCCCAGTCTCCATCTCCTAAGCCCCTCGCAACAACAATGAGCTAGACATTAGGGAGATAAGGGAGGTTAGGGTAGCTGAAGAAAGTTGTGGGGGTTGAGATGAAGTATAGGATGTTAGGAGAGGAGGAATGCTTCCTGAAGATTGAGTATTGACCTGGAGGGATGATTTGGACTAGACTGATGTGGCAGTAGGCATTGAGGAGGTAGTAGTAGCAGTGTTCAGGGTCCTTTTCAAAGGAGAGCCTGGAGTTGGGGAACCCACAGAATTTGCATTGGTGAGGCCATTTGATAAAGGGGTAAGACTCATTACCCCTATTAATGGTATAAAGTCTTCATTACTGGCCATGGTAAGCCCTAAGTATGTAGGGAGAGAAACAGCCCACCACATAGGGTCCCCTTGACAGGTAAGGGCTAGACAACTAAACAGGAATGGCTCCCTCAGGCCGTTCAGACTGGCAACCTTTCATCCTTTTAACATGGGTCTTACACGTTTGAAAGTGGATAGTAGAATGGGTTGGAGAAGAGAGAGAACCAAAAAAGGGAAGGGAAGAAGACCCAGCAAAATTAGTTGAGACAAGAGCCGAGGCTCAAGGCAGGAGTGATCCCAAACACTGAGTCCCAGTCTGTTCCCAAAGCCCCTACACAGTAAGAATGGGCATGGGATTGAGAGGATAAGGAAATATTAAACAACTTAAATTCAGAGTAAATGTATTCATACAAGACTCATAATAAAACATTTTGGAAGAATAACAAAAATAGAAACATTAGTATATATTAAAAAATCATTTACTTTCCTGCACACTTCACAGGTAAAAATATTCTTAAGCTAATATAAGACGTACTAATGGAAGCTGTAGCTCAGAAACAACCAAGGTACAACTATGAATATACACTATTAATGATCTGATTTTAAGTCACGGATTTCCCAGTAGGTAAAGCCTTAAAGAACTTTAGTTTTAGGAAGGCAACTCTTGCCTAAATTAACCCAATGTCAGGGAGTGGCAAGACAACAATGCCATGCCCACTGTAATAATTACTACACAGAATTTTTACTTCACTGTCAGTTTCAGTATGGACACTAATACTCTACCTAAAATCTCAAACCAATTTTTGTATATTAACTCATTGGTGTCTGGCACTCTCCATTGCAATTTTGTCTTGTGAATTCTATTTACACAATGACCCCACAAAAGCTTTGTCACCAAGAAGTTAATCAGTAAGCCTCACCTGATAATTCATTGAATTTATAGTATCTAATATTATTTTCATCAGATGAGACCTGGTAGGCATAGTAACTGACTGACTGAAAAGCACTACTGTTACTATCTGTGAGTGAAAAAAAATAGAAACTAAAACCACAGTGGACTGGGTATGTATGTAAATTTCTAAAGATGGTTCTTTGGAGAAAAAACAAATATTGACAGCAGATTTTTTTTCTATAAAATATATAAATAGATTATATATATATGTCTAAAAACTACTAAATATGTAAAATAAGTAATAAGTGTGTGATGAGTAGAACAAAGAACAGACTTGGCAGCTTGGAGTACTCCTATCTTTCTTTGAACTTTATTACAAATGTTTAATCACACTTAAGAGAATTAATATCAAGATTGACTGGTCCTGCATGTTTATGTCACATATATATAATACTGTTTGATAACCATGAAGAATTTATATTAGCCTAGTAATTCCACTTCTCTTCCAAACCCAACACAATATTCACCTGATAATTATGTACTGCTGCAATTTCAGCACATTTCTAGTCTGAAAATGAGTTATCACATGCATCAAATATCAGTTCCATTTACATTTCATCTATTTTTGCCCTTTCATAATTAAGTCTACAGAACAGCAAAATTATAAGGCAGCCATTATCTATATTTGTGTCTGATACCATATTTCAGCTGGAATGTATCTCAAGACATGGCCATAGGTAGCTTGTCGACAGCCAAGTATGCTTGCTCTGTCATGCAGCTCAAGCTAAAGATCTGACACAACAAAAACAATACAATCAAGTCTGACTCAAGGGTTGAAATGACAAAGATGCAGTTTTTGTTTCCAGTTCTGATATGAAAAGCAAAATATCAATATATCTTTAATCAAGAACTCTGAAAAAGAGAAAACAACTCATGTGTCACTATCACTGAATTTCATAAATTTGGAAGTGATCTTCATAGAACTTGCACCTATTTCTATTTGGCTTGTATGGTAATTCCTCAGACACAACTTATTGTATCCAAACTCTTAAAATCCCTATATTCTATAGTTTGTTCTGTATTCATATAATTCACTGGAAAATTTTATTTTGAGCCAATCACTTCAAGTAGTATATTAGGAAATGCATGATTTAGAAGCAAGTAAAATAAATAGTCCCCAAGACATGAAAGACAACAGAATCAGAAAAAAAAAAAAAAATGTTATTCAAAGTTCTTGTAAATGGTTCTTGCAATATCAATTTTCGCTGCACTTAACCCCTTGGTGCCGGGTCACGCCGATCGGCGTGTAAACAAAGCGCTTGAAAGCTGGCGTGCAGTCAAATGAGCCGGCGGCGAGCCAGTGATTCGGGTTGACACCCGTACTCGCGCGCTCAAAGTCGATTTTTTTTTTTCTTTTGTACACCCGGCGCCATTGGGTTAAAGAATTGAGAAACAAGTTGTGGCGTCATTTATGGATTAAGAGGATATGGGGCTGAAGATGATGAAGGAGGCATGGATGGGGGAGGATGTGAAGGTATGTCAGCAGGATATGGAGGAGGTAAGGACGAAGGTGCATATGGCGGATCATATGTAGTGGCTGAATATGGTGGAGGTGGGAGAGTGGGAGGATACGATGGGGCTGAGGGATATCCTGAAACATTAGGTAAGTAGGCATCATTATATGCATTAGAAGGAAAACCCTGTGATGATGAGTACTGAGACTTGGCAGGGCTCTGAAAACCTAAAGGTTCTTCCTGTGACAAAAGTGGGGCAGCTGGTACAGAGGACGTAACCGGAGCAAGAGGATATGAAGCTGTACTTCGTTGGACAGATGGAGGTGCTGATGCATCCTGGTACGCCTGCTTTTTTGTGTGTCTATGGATGGATAATTTAGAAGCCCTTAGTGCTTTTGATATATAGATTGATTCAAAACCTAGTAGAAATTAAAATCAACCTTCTTGAGAGCAGCAAGTTTTAAAAAAATTGTGGGTTATAGACCTATCTAACAATATGATGGAGTCTTGCTGCCAGCCCAGCTACTAAGTAAAACCAAACTTACTTGCTGAAGAGGAATAGCTAGCTAATCAGCAACTTAACTTGTCAGTGACAACCCCATTACCACTTCAAATATGGCTTGCTTTGGGCATTAATAACAGGAATATAAATATTCATATAAATACGTTTATAAATACACGTACATAAATATATACATATATATACATACATATACATATATATACATATATACCTATATATACATACATATATACAAATATACAAATAACTATATATATGCATATGTATACTTATATATATACATATATACACATATATACATATATACATATATACCAATATATACATACATATATACATATAGGTACATATATATGCACACTCTATATATTATATATATTTTATATATATATTGTATATATATATTTATATATATCATATACATTACATATATTTATATATTTATATTTATATTCATATATACAAACATGCTCACCTCCTCCAAGTAATCGTTATTGTCCAGCTCCAAAATGCAATGATTAACAAACCACCCAGGATTCCAACAAGTATAGGTCCTATTGATGTCGATGCACCACAGTCGCATACCTGCATTCCCTTCTTGTATACGCAGGGGCTGAAGGTAAAAGAGAAAAAAAAACATGTATGTGTGGCTGTATGTGTTACTTCATAACACATACACAAACATAGGCATGTACATACACTGCTGGTGGTGGCAGAAAGTGCAAAAATTGGCACACCATCAGCTACTGTGAATTTCAGTCCACCCCTTGTGTTTACTTTTCATTTGCAACAATCAGAGAAATAGTGGTACCTCTAAATCCTACTGTGTCAGCTGCTTTCTAGTAGGAAACATCCATTACTGTATCAGTTTTTTTACTTAGCATCCTAATATGTGCCTCATTTTCACTGCGATCCATTCTCACTTCTGCCTCATTTCTTTCTGTTATTGAGCCAAGCGACATTCAGAGTGAAGCTCAGACTGCAGCTTTAAGTGTGATGGTTAAGGAGAACAAATATAACAAAAAAATAGCGGCAAACACAGGACTGTCACCCCAAAGTATTCAACACTGGACAAAAAAATATCGTGCTATTGGATCCCTCATCCTCCCACCCCCATACAACCCAGCAGAACTTAAGGGGAAAGTAAGCCAGAGGACTTTAAATATATATATATATATATATATATATATATATATATATATATATATATATATATATATATATATATATATATATATATATATATATATATATATATATATATATATATATATATATATATATATATATATATATATATATATATATATATATATATATATATATATATATATATATATATATATATATATATATATATATATATATATATATATATATATATATATATATATATATATATATATATATATATATATATATATATATATATATATATATATATATATATATATATATATATATATATATATATATATATATATATATATATATATATATATATATATATATATATATATATATATATATATATATATATATATATATATATATATATATATATATATATATATATATATATATATATATATATATATATATATATATATATATATATATATATATATATATATATATATATATATATATATATATATATATATATATATATATATATATATATATATATATATATATATATATATATATATATATATATATATATATATATATATATATATATATATATATATATATATATATATATATATATATATATATATATATATATATATATATATATATATATATATATATATATATATATATATATATATATATATATATATATATATATATATATATATATATATATATATATATATATATATATATATATATATATATATATATATATATATATATATATATATATATATATATATATATATATATATATATATATATATATATATATATATATATATATATATATATATATATATATATATATATATATATATATATATATATATATATATATATATATATATATATATATATATATATATATATATATATATATATATATATATATATATATATATATATATATATATATATATATATATATATATATATATATATATATATATATATATATATATATATATATATATATATATATATATATATATATATATATATATATATATATATATATATATATATATATATATATATATATATATATATATATATATATATATATATATATATATATATATATATATATATATATATATATATATATATATATATATATATATATATATATATATATATATATATATATATATATATATATATATATATATATATATATATATATATATATATATATATATATATATATATATATATATATATATATATATATATATATATATATATATATATATATATATATATATATATATATATATATATATATATATATATATATATATATATATATATATATATATATATATATATATATATATATATATATATATATATATATATATATATATATATATATATATATATATATATATATATATATATATATATATATATATATATATATATATATATATATATATATATATATATATATATATATATATATATATATATATATATATATATATATATATATATATATATATATATATATATATATATATATATATATATATATATATATATATATATATATATATATATATATATATATATATATATATATATATATATATATATATATATATATATATATATATATATATATATATATATATATATATATATATATATATATATATATATATATATATATATATATATATATATATATATATATATATATATATATATATATATATATATATATATATATATATATATATATATATATATATATATATATATATATATATATATATATATATATATATATATATATATATATATATATATATATATATATATATATATATATATATATATATATATATATATATATATATATATATATATATATATATATATATATATATATATATATATATATATATATATATATATATATATATATATATATATATATATATATATATATATATATATATATATATATATATATATATATATATATATATATATATATATATATATATATATATATATATATATATATATATATATATATATATATATATATATATATATATATATATATATATATATATATATATATATATATATATATATATATATATATATATATATATATATATATATATATATATATATATATATATATATATATATATATATATATATATATATATTAAAAACAATTTTCATGCAGGATGGGGCACCATGTCAAACCACATAATAGTAAACTGGTTTTAAATTTGTAATGTAAGATTGTTAAAACCTTGGCCAGATATGAATCCTATACAGTACTTCAGGACATACACCAAACACCATTTACAGGACAGAGATACATCCTCCATTCTGTGCCTTCAAATGACCATTCAGGACATTTTGGATAATATCAAGCCCAAATAGCTACAACACAGAGCTGATTCCTTTCCGATTTCCAAAATGGCTTCAAATGATCTAGAAAAGTCGAGCCTATCCCATTATTTATTTTTAGTCAGTATCCCCTTTGGTACCATTTTCTACTGCATAAATCATCTCCAAAGCTGAGACAGGTGTTTGGAAGATTGGCACCTTCTGCCACCACCAGCAATGTAAATACCTACGTATCTTCTCTATATAAAAATTTATTGTCTAAGCAAATGTATCAAGAAACAAACTGACCACTGATCTACAAAAACAACAACTGCAGTAAATTGGTTTATGATCTATAGATACACCATTCTTACCTGGGACACGAACATGCATGTTTAGAACACTCCAAGCCTTCAATACAATTAGAATTCGAATAGCAGTATTCACCGTGTAGGACAATGTACTCTGAAAAACAGACAGATTTATTTTCTTTCTAAAAAATAAACAAGCAATTAAGACTGTTACTAAAATATTTTAGTTCTTTGTAAAAAAAAATATAGTCATACTTCAAGGAAAACTATAAAAGAAATGGGTATTAGCTATAAAGATAACATACTTGTAAGGTTACTGGCACGCAGGAAATCGGCTTCAGGTTCACACCGCCCACTGGTTACATTTGGGAGAAAAGCACTGGAAAAACAAGAAAAATAATCTCAGAATACTTAAAATTTGTCCCACAAATCTTTTGCTCTCTTATATGTATTCTAAAATAACTGTTTCTTGAAAATTCATTCTGCATTTTTTCAGTATATAATGTATATATATAAAAAGAAACTAAAGAAAAGACAAATTCTCTTTCTTAAACATCTATCTATCTAGCTAGCTATATAAATAAATATTCATAGATATATAGATATATATATATATATATATATATAAACATATATACATATATACAAATGTAGAAAACGTATGAAAGAGCATGAATATCTTCATCTTCAACAGATGTATTTCACCAGTTTCGATTATATCTTCATCAGATATACATGTATTTCTGACAAAAATATAATCTAATATATATAATAATCCTATATATGTATAATGCTATAAGTACAATACTATTTATATATAATATATCTATATAATATATATATAATATATATATATAATATATATATAATATATATATATAATATATATATAATATATATATATAATATATATATATAATATATATTATATATAATTTATATATTCATATAAAATATATTATATATATAATATATATAATATATATAACTTATATAATATCATCATTTGTGAGCTAATGCCGGCAGGGTACATAGATGCATCCACCCTTCGCTTCCACCTACAAGGGTCCCTCATGGTGAGGCAGGGGCCGGCCCATCTCTAGCTCCTCATGACAGGTTTGATCAACCTGGCCAAGACATGACTTCCTCGGTCACCCCACAGGCCTCCTCCACCCAGGGTTGTCTCAAGCAGAGACAATCTAGTGAGCAGGGTCAGCCCATGGGAATCGAGCCAAGTGGCCGTATATATCATTAATAAATATATATATATATATATATGTATATATATATATGTATATATATATATATATGTAATATATATATATATATATTATGTATAATATATATATATAATATACAATATATATAATTAATAAGATATATATTTACAGTCAATAATATATATATAATATACTTATAATCAATAATGTATATAACATATATAATATATATATACATAATGATTAATATATATACAATAATAATATATAATGATATAATAATATAACAAAATATATATAATATTATACATATAATAATATATATATCTTATATAATAATAATATACATATAATATATATATAATACTATATATATAATATACATAATATATATAATATATATAACATATACAGTCTTTATGGTATATACAATATATATAATTTATATATATATATATATATATATATATATATATATATATATATATATATATATAATATATTACATTTATATATAATATATATGATATATAACATATAGATAATATATAATATACATTATATATATAAATATATATAAATATAGTACATATAATATATATAAATATAATATATATAATATTTTTAATATACATATATATTCATATTATGTAATAAATATAATATGTATAATATATGTAAATTAATATATATATAATATGAATATACATAACAATCATGAATATATATTTATATATATAATAACAATAATACAATATATAATAATATATGTATATATATATCTATATATTAATCCATTGCCGCCGGGGATGGCATGTACGTACATGCCATGCCCACTGTGAGTCGACTTGTTCGACTGTTTTTACACATAGATGGCTACACTTGTGCTAAGTATCCAATGAGCCAATTACAAGTACTGCCTGTCTCGCCGGTTCACCCTTTACATCGATTTACAAAAATTTTAACATTATCCTAATTTGCTGTTAAAAATAACACCATCTATATTCATAGCACTAGTAAAATACGTTTTTTTCCGCCAATTCAAGGAAAGGTGAAATCAGGACTAGGAGAGCCATCTATGGAGATATATTTCACAAAAATATAAAAAATGAGTACTGCATTTCCCCATTTTCTGTTCATTTTCCTTGGCGGCAATGGGTTAAAAATATATATATATATATTTATTTATAATATATATATAATATGAATATACATAACAATCATGAATATATATTTATATATATAATAACAATAATACAATATATAATAATATATGTATATATATATCTATATATTAATCCATTGCCGCCGGGGATGGCATGTACGTACATGCCATGCCCACTGTGAGTCGACTTGTTCGACTGTTTTTACACATAGATGGCTACACTTGTGCTAAGTATCCAATGAGCCAATTACAAGTACTGCCTGTCTCGCCGGTTCACCCTTTACATCGATTTACAAAAAATTTTAACATTATCCTAATTTGCTGTTAAAAATAACACCATCTATATTCATAGCACTAGTAAAAATACGTTTTTTCCCGCCAATTCAAGGAAAGGTGAAATCAGGACTAGGAGAGCCATCTATGGAGATATATTTCACAAAAATATAAAAAATGAGTACTGCATTTCCCCCATTTTCTGTTCATTTTCCTTGGCGGCAATGGGTTAAATATATATATATATATATATTTATATTTATATATATATATATATATATATATATATATATATATATATATAAATATAAATATATATATATATCAAAATAAACATGCATAGGCTTTGGAGCGATTTTGAAAGTGGGGAGGCGCACTTCTGCGAGCGAATTCAATTCGAGGGCGTGTAAGTGCCCGAGAGGGGGTGGGTGTGGGAGCTGGTGTCCCCCTCACACGGTATGGAAAATTTAATTTAATAATTTAATTGGACTGACACAATACAGTTTCATTGTCAACCCCAAGGCATTCTTTTATTAAAGTCGGTGATGTTAGTCTCTAAATGACAGTGTAACAAATCGGCACTGAGCTATGGTACTTAACCCTCCTTGTCCTCTCATGGTGGTACAGCATACAACAAATGCCATGCATGTGTATATGGGTGCTTGGTTCCAAGCCACAGTACTGGCTAAGTGTCTCGGCTGGTGTATCTTATCAAAATGTCATAAGGCCATCTCAATACCCGGTATAGCATGTACAAGGGATCAAAAGGTCTGGGACTGAATCCTGTTGCTGCTGTAGTGACATGCTAGTGGATGAACCTGTGTGTAGTAACTAGCTAACTGCACTTGGCCCCCCTGGGCCAAAAAGTGGGGGGGCGCGCGCCTATGCCTATGACATGTATGTATATAATTCATATAATAATATATATAATTTATATAATATATACAATATACATATATAATATATATAACATATATATATATCAAATTTATATAATATACATAATATATCTAATACATATAATATATATATATCTAATTTATATAATATACATAATATATCTAATACATATAATATATACAATATATATAATATATATAGTATATATGATATATATAATATATGTATTATTTATAACACATATAATATATACAATAATCTATATAATAATATACATATATCTTATATATATCATATATATAATATATATATATTATAAATATATATACATTTTATATATCATATATTATATTATATATATATTTCATATATTATATATATATCATACATATATTATATATATATATATACATATATTATATATATTATATATATATTATACATATATCCATAATAATAATGATAATAATAATAATATATAATGTATATATTATATATATATTATACATATATCCATTATAATAATGATAATAATAATAATATATAATGTATATATTATATATATAATAATACGTATATACTATATATATATATATATATATATCATAATATATATATACATATAATATATATATATTGATATATACAATGATATATATTTAATAATATATATATATATGTAATGATATATATACAATAATATGTATACAATAATACATATACAACAATGCATATACAATACTATATATACAATAATATATATACAGTAATATATCTACACAATAATATATATACAGTAATATATCTACACAATAATATATATACAATAATACATAAAAATAATATATATACAATAATATATATACAATAATACATATAGAATATATATAGAATGAAATATACAGATATAATAATACAATATTTATATATACAATATATAAACAATATCTACAATATATATATAAAATATCTACAATATATATATATATATGTATATATATATATATATATATATATATATATATATATATATATATATATATATATATATAATGTATATGTCAAATAATACATATAGGTGGGTGTTTCATGCACAGGGTGATATGAAGCGATGGTGTGGTAGCCTAGATAGTATTAACCCAATGGTGCCGGGGAAAATTAACAAAAAATGGGGAAAATATTGTGCCCACTTTCTATGTTTTTCGTGAATTGTCTGCCGATAGATGGCTCTGCTAGCGCCTGATTTAAATGGCGGGAAAAATGTATTTTTCACTAGTGCTATGAAAATCGATGGTGTTATTTTTAGTACAAGTGTTGCCATCTATGCGTAACAACAATCAAACAAGTACTCACTGTGGGCATAGCACGTACATACACATCATACCCGGCACCAAGGGGTTAAGTGCTTGCATGCCTTGCTGCCACCGCTGGCTAGCCTAGTGCGAAAAAGGGAGCAGGTCTGCCAGTTCACAGCCTCTCCATCATTGAGACTTCTGCAGTGCCTCCTTGTGGGCACCCATGTAAACTGGGCACCTTGCGATCCCAGGCTAAACTGTGGGGAAACTCAGAGCAGCAGGAGGCCTCAGAAGTTTGGAGCCATGGCCCACTGGCATGTGGACATGCTCTGAAAGAAACATTCTCTGTGGCAAACAATTGCCCCTGGTGAGACATTCCCAGTCTGGATTCACTTCTGGCAAGTCCACAATAGACCATATCCAGCACTTAGAGCAATTGTGAAACACCATTGTGAGTTCAGTTGTGGGTTGCTTGGAGCCTACATCGACCTCAAGGTGTTTGACCCATTGCATTGAGAATCACTATGGATGATTCTGAGACTTAACCCATTCGCGCCGGGTAAAAATGAACAAAAAATGGGGGAAATGCTGTGTTCATTTTTTATATTTTTTAATGAAATTTCTCTACACTAGATGGCTCTGCTTTACCGGATTTCATTTGGCGGGGAAAATGTATTTTTACTAGTGCTATGAATATCGATGGTTATTTTTATCATAAACATTATAATTACTCTAATGTTATAAACATTAGTAACAGGAAAATAAGATAACGCAAAATAATTTCGTAAATTAAAGAAAAGGGTAAACAGACGAGACAGGCAGTACAAGTGCAAGTGGAGCCATCTATGTTTGTAAACAATCAAACAAGTAATCTCAAAGTGGGCCCGTCACGTATACGTGATGCCCGGCGCGAATGGGTTAAGGGAATTCCAACATAGATTATCAGTCTAATAGCAAGCCTATATACTGGTACTGACCGTGCTGTAAAGTGTGGTGGGGGCTTGTCGAACTTCCCTGTTAATTCAACACCTGAATGGATTAGATAATGGGCAGAGCTATTATCCAAAGTCAGTGTGGAGCAACACTGGGCAATATCAAGGTCTCTGACCATGATATTCCTGTCTGAGACTCTGGAGTCACTAGTGGTGGTTCTTGATGCATTTAGCAATAAGGCCTTGATACTACCAGTTTTGCTCTATGGAAGTGAAACCTGGAGCCTTGGAGTCTCGTCTTGATGCCTTTTGTAACAAGTTTCTTTGCCAGATCAAAGGTACAGTTGGCAGGACCATGTGTCCAACCAATGGCTACACTGTGAAACTGGCATGGGACTTGTTACTTGCATAATAGAGGATTACCAACTCAGGCTATGTGGGCACCTAGCTCGTTTCCCTGTAGATGACCCTGTCCAACAGTTTGTCTCTCTGTGTGAGAATCCTGGGTGGAGGAGGCCTATGGAATGACCTAGGAAGTCATGGCTTGGGCAGCTCGACGAGACCTGTCATGAAGAGTTAGAGATGGGCTGAGGGCCTGCCTGGAGACTCACCACGAGAAACCCTTGTAGCTGCAAGCAAAGGGTGGATGCAGCCATATGCCCCTGCCAGCATTAGCCCCTTGACAGTGAGGATAAAGAATACATATATATATATAATGTCATATAATATATAGATGGTGTTATTTTTAACAGCAAATAAGGATAACGTTAAATATTTTTGTAAATCGATGAAAAGGGTGAACGGGCGAGACAGGCAGTACTCGTAATTGTCTCATTGGATACTTAGTACAAGTGTAGCCATCTATGTGTAAAAATAATCGAACAAGTCGACTCACAGTGGGCATGATACATGCCATCCCCAGCGGCAATGGGTTAATAATTGATTCCATTACTTAGGCTATCTACACGCAGGCCAAATTAATAAAATATGATAAAAATATGATTAGTACAAGTATACATATGTGATTCATTGATTATCATATATGTATTATTTTACAGTATGTGAAATCATACCCTGTAAGGTTTAAGTGAATTGAGAAAATGCAGTAGTATATTGCCATGAAAGTATTAACCCTTTCCCGACAGGGAAAAAATAAAAAATGGGGGAAGTTCTGTGCTCATTTTTTATATTTTTGTGAAATATCTCTGTCCATAGATGGCTCTGCTAGTCCTGATTTCACCTTTCCTTGAATTGGCGGGAAAAAACGTATTTTTACTAGTGCTATAAATATAGATGGTGTTATTTTTAACAGCAAATAAGATAACGCAAAATAATTTCGTAAATTAAAGAAAAGGGTAAACAGACGAGACAGGCAGTACAAGTGCAAGTGGAGCCATCTATGTTTGTAAACAATCAAACAAGTAATCTCAAAGTGGGCCCGTCACGTATACGTGACGCCCGGCGCGAATGGGTTAAGGGAATTCCAACATAGATTATCAGTCTAATAGCAAGCCTATATACTGGTACTGACCGTGCTGTAAAGTGTGGTGGGGGCTTGTCGAACTTCCCTGTTAATTTAACACCTGAATGGATTAGATAATGGGCAGAGCTATTATCCAAAGTCAGTGTGGAGCAACACTGGGCAATATCAAGGTCTCTGACCATGATATTCCTGTCTGAGACTCTGGAGTCACTAGTGGTGGTTCTTGATGCATTTAGCAATAAGGCCTTGATACTACCAGTTTTGCTCTATGGAAGTGAAACCTGGAGCCTTGGAGTCTCGTCTTGATGCCTTTTGTAACAAGTTTCTTTGCCAGATCAAAGGTACAGTTGGCAGGACCATGTGTCCAACCAATGGCTACACTGTGAAACTGGCATGGGACTTGTTACTTGCATAATAGAGGATTACCAACTCAGGCTATGTGGGCACCTAGCTCGTTTCCCTGTAGATGACCCTGTCCAACAGTTTGTCTCTCTGTGTGAGAATCCTGGGTGGAGGAGGCCTATGGAATGACCTAGGAAGTCATGGCTTGGGCAGCTCGACGAGACCTGTCATGAAGAGTTAGAGATGGGCTGAGGGCCTGCCTGGAGACTCACCACGAGAAACCCTTGTAGCTGCAAGCAAAGGGTGGATGCAGCCATATGCCCCTGCCAGCATTAGCCCCTTGACAGTGAGGATAAAGAATACATATATATATATAATGTCATATAATATATATATATGTATATATATAAATATTTACAAATATAATATATATACTATATATATACATATACATATATGTATAATAATACAGACAGAGAGACAGATAAATATATAGATTAGATTAATTAATCAGACTGACTCATAGATTAGACTGAGAGACAGGCAGATAGAGATATAGATAGATATTAATAACAATATAAAAAAGTGAACTTACTCAAAGCAAACACATTTCCTTTCTCCACAGTAACTATGTTGCTTATGGTCACAGACATATGCTATAGAATATCTTTGATAGCAGGGCTCCATGACCTTCTTGTTCACTGCTGCAGAATGTAATCAACAAAGATGGTCATTACATACTAATTTAAGCCAAAGAAGAAAAAAATAAAGTGATAAATTAAGTATTTTCTTGCATGCATGCCTCATTTAGAATTTAACATACAGAGCAATCACATTATCTTTATTCAATTTACAAATGACAAATTTGCTGTTAGTTTTAATAAATAAATCAGATTTAATACATACAAATTTACTTAATATAATTTCACATTAAGTTTTACATTGCCTTAAATTTGTTTCACGCAATAAACTAGCAGTTGCTTCCTTAATTTTAATAACTCAAGGCAGAGATATTATGAAAACCAGTCAAATGCATCTCTTGTATTGTAAAGATAATCATTCTTATACCTTTTCAAGATTAAGTCATGAAGGCTTAACCCATTGCTGCCGGGGAAAATGAAAAAAAAAATGGGGGAAATGCAGTACTCATTTTTTATATTTTTGTGAAATATCTCTGTCCATAGATGGCTCTGCTAGTCCTGATTTCACCTTTCCTTGAATTGGCGGGAAAAAACGTATTTTTACTAGTGCTATAAATATAGATGGTGTTATTTTTAACAGCAAATAAGGATAACGTTAAATATTTTTGTAAATCGATGAAAAGGGTGAACGGGCGAGACAGGCAGTACTCGTAATTGTCTCATTGGATACTTAGTACAAGTGTAGCCATCTATGTGTAAAAATAATCGAACAAGTCGACTCACAGTGGGCATGATACATGCCATCCCCAGCGGCAATGGGTTAATAATTGATTCCATTA